ATGGAAGAGTTGTATCAACTTTATCGCACACGGTAGTAATTACGAACGAAATCGTCTCTTCCTGGTGAATCCGATGGCTCGACCGAGACGTCCACTATCGCTGATGCTATATTTATTCGCGAAGATGCGCGAGAGATAAGCAAACGAATGATTAGCCGCATCAGAGATATCGTGTTTCCGACGTTTACGATATATTCCGCGGAAATGAGCTACGCCTACGCAACCATTGTGGGAGAGGACAAGCTAGAGAACAAAAAGCGGTCAACTCCACTTTTTGATTTAATTTCTTAATTTCGTTACGTAAGCGCACGTCTACGTGATTAACATTCGAACATCTAAAACACTTCAGTGTTTGCTGTAGTTTGTGCTATTCTTAGATTTTTGGAGCTGACCATATGTATTTGTATAGCTTCTGCGCGACTCGCTTTGGAGCATTATATTTGTAATTAGTACATGATACATGTGAAAATTAGAATGAAGACTCTAAGATCAACATCTGGAGGAAAAACCATGCGACTTGCAATCTTTTTAATTCGTCGATATTACTGGTATACGGAGAGTCTTCTTCTTTAGAAAATGAATCAATGACGGTAACGTATTAATCAATAAAGTAATAAAATAATATGAATAAACGAGATTATAGTAATAAATGAATTAAAGTAAAAAAATTGATTAGTAAACGAGAAAAGCTCAAATACTAAAAATCCGTTAAATACACTTCCATTTCTAATCCTCCGTGCCTCACTAGCGCCACCACAGCGCTGTAACTATGTTTTACTTTCCCGAATTCCTCCAATCAATGACAAATCAGTGAACAAAACTGAAAAGCTTGAATCAGACGCGATTCACCGTTCGTATTTCACCTCGTTGGTTCTCCACCTTGTAGACAATGATCTTGGATAAATGGTAGTAGAAGAACGGCCGTGAACGTGTTTCGACCGCGTGGTCGATTCGCAATCTGACGCGAGTTACACTGAAAGGGATCGCGGCGTGTATCGCGGACGCAGCATCTGCCTTTCTACCAGATAATGATGCCTCGTTGCGATATTCCGCGGGATGCTTTTAAAACGATGCTGGCGAACACGCAACCAAGCCCAAATACGCCGGCTGGTAAACGCGGTGAAGCCAATTATACGTACCGAGATTCATGGCGTGGCTGCGATGAGAAAGAAAGCAGAGGCTGCGGAACGAAGGAGACCAGGGTGGAGATAAAAAAAAAAACTTATTAAAGAGAAAAGGTCAACGAGGGTGGAAGGGTAAAATCGAGTAGAACAGAAGCCTCTCGCACGACGATTTACTAATTATTAATATTAACATTAATATTAATAAATTGACAAGTAACGAGTTAGAAGTTTCTATTTTTTTTATAATTTTCTTTATCTGTCAATATTTAATACCATGCCTGAGTATCAATTCATTTTATAGTTTTATAATTTTGCAGAAGTCTCTTGCACACCGATTTACTAATTATTAATATTAATATTATTATTAATGAACTGAGAAGTCAGGTTATAAACTTCACTTTTGTAATTTTCTTTCTGTGTGAATATTTAATACT